CCTTCCCAGTGCAGCAATGGCACCCTGGGGGCCCTATCCACGGATCCTCTGAGTAGAAACTTGGCAAAAGCAGAGAGAAAAAATCCACCATCTGGTGTGCCCCACAAGTTGAGGGGGCAGGGAATGGTTAATCCAGGCACGAGAGGAAAGCATCCTGGTAAATGCCACGTCATCCCCAAAGGCACAAGCCAAGGGAAACCAGTCGACACTCCTCCCTCTCCTTCCGGGCTCCTCCAATTCTGTCTACCACTCTCTCCACCCTACCTGCCTGCTTTGGGCCTCCCCATCCCGTGTGGATAGGTGTGTGCTCCTTTCCTGGCCCTCCACGAAACCAACTCCTTTGCAGCCCTGCAGGGAACCACAGCATGCCCCTGCTCAAATCTCCAGCAGTTCATGATCGCCCAGCCAAGGTGCTCAGTTCCTAGGCATGGCCAATGGAGGCCACCACATGTGTTCCCAACCAGTCACTTAGCCTCGTCATCTACCTCCCTTGAGAACTTCACTCTGGCAACACGATGCTACCCTCCATTCTGAGACACCACCAGCCACGCAGTTCCTGAGCCTGTGCAGGACATATAAACTCAGTGAGAACAGGGATCTGTCTGTTATGACCTCCAGGACAGAGGCTGACACTTGGTGGGCAGGCTCCATAAATACGGGTTTCATGAATGACGACATCTTCCTCGCCCAGGGGTCAACTGCCCAGGGTCTCCCAGCCATCCTAGAGTCCCAGTTTGGAAGCCATGTTCTGGGTGTAAGGTCCCCCTGTGGACACAGGTGCCCTCTCTCCTCCGCCCTCCTGGACCCCATCATAATAATCATCCTCCTGTGCACTTAGAAAAATAGGAGTTTGAGGAGGACAAAAAGGGGTTTGTTCACTCCTCCATCTCAACAAAAAAAGCATCTTTAAAGGCAGGGTCTAAGCGTTTGCATTTCTAAATCATGCACTTTTTGTTGTCATGACTGTTTTGGATTCATATTTTTCTGAAACGAATTTCTTAAAAACCGAAGTAGAGCACCTACAGACACAAGCAGACAGCGCAGTGTACTCTGGCTAAGCAGGTGGGCCCATAACCCCGCCTGCCGGGGCCTGGGGCAGAGCATCACCCTCGTACCTTCTCTTGGGCTCCACCTTCCTCCCCCCAAATTTTCATACTCTAACAGCAAGGATTATTTTTAACTGTTTTTGGGCTTTATGTAACAGAATCATACAGTTGTACTCTTTTGTGTCTTTGATCCTTTCAATTCCAAAGTCAATTCTAGCATGGATACACCTTGTCAGTTTCATCCACTGGGGCCACTCCCTTCCCATCCAAAACTATCTGCTCAAGCCAGTGCAAAGGCTACTTTGTAGGCAGTTACCATGAGGGAGCCCCTCTCAGCACCCTTGGTGTGCCCAGGTCTGGCTTAGAGCCATAGTGGCAGGAGTTTGGGTGCTCATCACTCACAAGTTTCTAACTGGTCTTAGGTACGGTCACACCAGGACAAACGCCAGGGGAACAAACCCTGGGGCAGGTCATGTCTAGAGACCTCCAGGAGGTGCTTAGCAAGCAGCAGCTGTGCTTCTGAACAAAGCCTCCTGAGGAGACGATCAGGTTGTAAACCGAACTGGAACTTTGTGGGTAACGGTGAGCCAGCACTTGGACCTAAGTTAACCATTGAGAAAAGAGAATTAACCTTTCGGGCTTTGGAAGGTTCCAGCTGGTATCAAAAAGTGGTAACAAAAAACTGTTCTTTAGTAGCCTGAGGGAAAATCTTTGAAAAATACCTCCCTGAGAGCAGCTTCCTGGTCTCAAAAGATGTGACACAGTGCTTTTACAACAACTAACAGCAGGATTTTGTAAGTCGAGTTGTAATTTCAAGGCCAGATCATAGCCCGGGACCACTTGCTGCCCGGCTCAGAGCTATGCGGTCTGAGCCCTTCAAAATACCAACTGGATTCTGTCAGCAGAAACGGTTCTTGACAGTTGTTCCTTGTTATCTGTGGAAAAGTTCTCTTTGACTATTCATGATCATAAGTTGAATTTGAGAGGAGATCCAGCATATGTTTTGCTCATGTGAAAATAAGAGCCATATTGCTTTATTCAATTATAAATTATTAGACAAAAAGAAGCAATGTGAGTATTTTCCTAGGAGAGAGATCTTTTGTCAAAGTTACTCACTCCTTTCTTCCAAGTTATTCTTACAAAGTACTATATGTAACAAAATTAAGTTCACTATCAACTTCAGCACAGCAAATGAGCACAGAAAAGCAGGAGATTCTATGCGGTTATCCGCAATCAGGGATGTAAACACACATTTGTAACACCATCACTTTGCAGGGGAGTCTGGTGCCGTTTTATTCCAAACCAGGTATCTGCCAAGGAAATCCTACCATGGATTTAGGAATTAGGTATACTCCCATAGCAGTAAAAAAATCACAAATGTGGATGATACCACTTTTTATTAGAAGGTCAACATCTGTGGTCTACTTTTCGATGTTGTTTTCACTCCTAATACAAGGCAGATAACTTCTGCTGGCTGCACAACTGATCTAAAATTATACTGTAATTCTGATGGCACACTGGTGACAATTAAATAGGAAGCCACCAACACTTTGGCTCCCGTCTTTTCAGCAAAAGAAATTAGTGGGTGTCAGGAAGGGCTACAGAAAGTTTTCTCACATTCCTTCTTGGGAATGATGCCACGTCTACAAGTTTGGCATGTAAGTTAGGTTATGGAGAAAGAAGCCACTGCATGATGGTGAGTTGCTATCAGGGGACTTTTCTATTTGATACTGCTCAACTGGGCAAAAAAAACTCACACTAACAAGGTCCCTCTTTGCCCAACAAAAGCAAGCCTTCAGGTAAGCATGATAAACACACCAAAACAAACAAAGACACACTAAACATGGAGGCACTCTTGCCTGATAAGGGGGGTAACTGACCTCCAAGGGCCTTTGCACTATGAAAAGCAACTTCTCTTACCAAATATGAGTGCTCTCAAAACATAATTTTATCTGTATTTTTATAATATATAATGCTTACTACAAACGTTTCCACAGAACAAAGCCTCTAGGAGAGCTGTCGCTCTACAGAAGAGGATCAGATTGACTTAGCACAGCCCTAGAGGGCAACATAAGAGCCAAGGGAGAAAGTTAAAGAAATGTAAAAATCTGATTCTATTTAAGGAAGAGCTTTCTAACAATTTGTGTTCTCCAAAAATGGAATTGGCTGACTCTAGAAGTCGACGTGTTCCAGAAGTGTTCCAGCAGAGCCGGCTGGCCATCTGGCAGGGATGGGGCGGTGGGCCCAGCCCTGGGCTCGAGGATGAGCTGGCCACTCCAGTCCGAGCACCTGGGAGGACGCGAATTCCCTGAACTGATCACAGCTCGTGAGAGAATTTAACACACTGAGCGGAAGATGCAGCTCATAGTTTCAATTTGTGGCTTTGTCTTTTCTCCTTCTAAAAAATTACAAGGTATTCTAGGGAACTTCCAGATAACCCAGAGTGTTTACTTTGCCTTATTCTACTTCCCACCCATTTCTGGATATTTCATGCTTTACAAGAAATCTTGAGAACACCAAAAAAAAAAAAAAAAAAAAAAGGAGGGGGAGGAGGAGACACACACAAAAAGCCCGACAAAACAGGTCAACAATGTTTAATATCACTAAAAAGTAGGTACTTTGATGACAGGATGAAATTGGAAAAATAAATAAAATTAAGCTCAGGGCAATTAAAGTATTTATCTGTTCATGCGACTTTTTTTAACCACAGGCAATTAAGAATTATAAGCATAAGACATAGTGTTTCTTTCAAGTGACATGTATATAGGAAGAAAAAGATAAAAGGGACAGAATTTAGTGGAAAAAGGACCACATTACTAATGAAAAATGGAATTTCTCCAACAGGCTCAGAATCTACAATGGCCAGTGACCTGATGTAATTCATACAAAGTCCTGTGTCTCTTTTCCCTCTCTAAATCATGAGAATAACCTAATCCATAACACAAATACTATCTAATAAATGAAGGATTTAAGCGATTCTGAAGACAGTTTAGACTTTTCAAGATTACATAAAAGGAAAGATGAACATTTTGTAACACCCATCACATTTGGTGTATACTTTTCAGTTTTCCCATATATTCCTCCCTCCTCCCCCAAAATAAAACAAATCGTATTAGGAATTTTAAAAAACCTAAGTAAATGTAGCATAGGTGATAATATTGGCTTATTTCAGCAGAAAACCCTTAAGTGATAATCTGCAGTCTTGGGTACAAACATCATTATGCTCATATACGGAGGAAACAACAATTTGTAAAGTGTCAGCTCGGAACAGTCATTCTTGGGAAAAGCCCTCACAACTATTCTCTCAGATCATCTGAAGCAGTAACTACTGCAAGTCAGTCCAGTATGTGGACAAAGGCAAGGCTGGATACACTAACTTCACGTAAGGTGGCATTTCCCATGAGCTGACACCAGGGAAGAAAAGGCACGGAGGGGCAAAGCCAGTCAACGGTCTGCACCCGGGTGACCCCTGGCAGCCTCTGACATCACAGGGCTGCCCCTGAGCTAACAGTGTCCGGGACTGGGGTGTGAAACGTTGTCCATTTCAGAGAAGGAAAAAATGCTTTAGCTGTCTCCTTCTCTGTGCAAATGGACAGGATTTTGTAAGAAAGGAACAATCTGATAACATGACATCAGCAGACCTGGGGGAGCTTTAGGAGGTGGTAATTCCACTTCAGAATCCTCTAGAATTTTGCTACAAGGAGACAGGCACCTATGCAGCAGTCCAAAGCACACGAAGTGTCACCTTCTGTAAGACCCCAAACTCTGAAATCCCCAGGAAATGGCAAACATCTCATTTCTCCATCTTGGTCTCTTAATTCTCAGAGATTTTTAAAAGTAGGAAGATGTCAGCATTTAAAACAAGTTTTTTTTTTTTTTAAGCAAGCTAGAAAGATGAACAGCCCCCCTTGAAATGCACAAGGCTGTCTCTCTCTGCAGCACGTGGACACTCACCTAGCGTGTCCTTCAGGTTCTTCACGAGGGAGCCCTTCTTCAGGCTGTTCTTCCGCTCCACGTAGTTGGACGGCACGTAGCCCGTTCTGTTGGCTGCGTTCCTCACCCGCCACCACGTCTTGGAGTCGTCCAGCAACCACAGGCGCTCGTTCTTCTTGATGTCCAGCTCCTGGTCCTGCTGGGCAGTGTAGTCCCACTTGGCTATCACAATAACTTCTTCTGTCATCTTTCATGGAGTCCTTCTGCCAGCAAAACATTTGGAGATGCTCATTAGAAAACCACTCGAACACTTCATCCTTCGCACCAATTTGAAAAATTAGGCATTGACAGCTTTTATTACAACCCTGCAACTGCTCTTCTCCTGGGTCTTGAAATGCTCAACCTTAAAATGACCTTCTTTCAACAAGCTTTAGTATTTTGCTTAGAAACAGGAACCTTATAAAACAAATCCTATGTCGCTGCTCGTTGTACATTGGGAATTCTGCCTGCTCTATCAAAAACAAAAACAAACTTGTAAAAAATTCTAAAGAACATTATAATTAAATATGTTCATTTGATTAAGTAATACTGGCTCCTTATAGCTGATATGTTTACATTCATTTTCTCAGAATCTGCTGAGTTGTGTGAACATATCTAATAAATACAACACATCCAAGCAACTCCTATAAATTAAAAATTAAAATTAACATCCTAATGCAAAGTGGTATCCTGGACTGGATCATGAAACAGAAAAAGGAAATTTGTGGAAACACTGGTGAAATCTAAATAAAGCCTAGTTAATAATAACATACCAATGTTAATCTCTTAGTTTGGACAATGCACCAGTGAGATGTTACTGTACTCATGTAAGATGTTAACATCAGGGGAAATCAGGGAAAGGGTAAACAGGAACACTCTGTACTACGTTGGCAACTTTTCTGTAAATACAAAATGATTCTTAAAAATTTATATTCACACAAAAATCTACACATGGATGTATATGGCAGCTTTATTCATAATTGCCCAAATTTGGAAAGTGAATGGATAAATGAACTGTGGTACATCCAGATAATGAAATATTACTCGGTGATAAAAACAAATGACACATTAAGCCATGAAAAGACATGCAGGAACCTCAAATGCATAATACCAAGTGAAGGAAGCCAATGTGAAAAGGCTACAAACCGTATGATTCTGATAGTCTGTCCTTGACCAAACCTTAGGCTCCTCTGAATCCTCTTCCCACTCAAACCTCGACTTTTGCACTTCTGTAGCTGTCTCTGCATTGCCCAGTCCTTGCAAGAATCTTGCTACGTTGGTCTAACCAGAATCCTCCACCCACAGCATCTGACCAGGTCCCTGACCCTCCACCATCCCCTAGGGGTGTGTGCTCACCTGCCTGCCTTCAGCAAGAATCTTGTTAGGTAGGTTTAGTCAGAATCCCTCTTACCCCTAATGTTCTCTTTTAGTAATTTTCCATCCACCAACCCCCTCACCCTGCTCTTTGTTTGTAAATGCCCACTTTTCTTTGTTGCATTCGGAATTGAACCCAATCCCTTTCCTCTACTGCAAACCCCATTGCAGTAGTCCCTCTAAATAAAGTCTGCCTTACTGTTCTTTAACTAGTGTCATGAATTATCTTTTCTTTAACAATTTCAACTATATGACATTCTGGAAAAGGCAAATCTATGGAGACAGTAAGGAGATCAGTGGTTGCCAGGGGCAAGGGATAAGGGAGGTTGGTTGAATAGGCGAAACACAAAGAATCTTCAGGGCAGTGGAACCACTCTGTTTAATACCATTATGGTGGATACCTGTCATTACACATTTGTCAAGACCTATAAAATGTACAACATCAAAAGTGAACATAATGTAAAAATTATTCCAAAGCAAAAGATTTATGGAAACAACAAAAAATACAGTATATATCTAGTAAAGTCAATTTTGGGAGTAATAAATAGCAAAAGTGCACCTGAATAAAAGGAAGATCGTTATCAACTATTTCAGCAGCTCCATCCTTTTCAGGTAGAAGACGGACCAGTATTCTTCCAGCAGAAAAATTCAATATTCAGTCCTGAAACTGATTAGACATTTCCCCAAAAGTAGAAAGAAAGGAATGATGAGAAGATCTCTGACTAAAATCCCCTTCTTCCCTGAAAGAGAGAAGTTCTCAAAATTTTATGGGGATGGCTTTGGCGGGGACCTATGCACCTTGACTCCATGGAAGCATGAACACCATTTTTAAGTAACATTATACTTTCTACTACATGCTAAACAAATTTATAAATAATACATGTTTACCTCTTTCATGAATTAACTTCCAAATTTAGAGATAACAAACCTTTTGGGAAGGAGGAAATGCTTAGTAAACCTTATGCGTAATGTGCACAATATCCAAGAGGATACAGTTTACACAAAGCTCATTTCAAAACTGAAGACAATTTTGTTACCTGCTTTCAGAAAAATCTCAAATTCATACCATGGAGAGCTCACTAACCTGACCTTTATGTCAGATTAGACTTTTGAAAGTCATAAAGGTAGGTTTTCTTTTTAAAATAACAAGAGGAGCAATAGCAGTAACAGGAATGGAGCTCAGAGAATATTCCACTTGAATACTAGCCTTGTTTTTTAATTACACAATTTCCACAAGGTTTTAACAAGAACAGTCATCACTTAAGACCAATCAAGATCTGGCCAATCAAAGCTATTTATTTTCTCCTTCATGAACAGCAGGTAAGTAAGGAGCTGGCTGGACTCGATCCATTTCCTTCCACAGTGAACAACACATAGGAGCTTTAAAAAATAGCACTGCCTGAGCTCTGCCGCAAGCCAGTCGTATCAGAATCTTTATGAGTGAAGCCTGTGCATCAGAAGTCTTTTATAGCTTGCCAAGGGATTCTGACAGGCCTTAGAAGGGAAAAACCAAGTGAGAGGGAACTGAGCCACAAAACGCCTCCTCTCGGATGCTTTCCCTGGGTCACCGCCATGAGCTCTGTGGACTGCAATGGGACATAAATGTTCAGTTTGGGAAGTAAACTCTCAGTACATGATGGGCATTTAACATAAGTCAACTGGTTTAATCCTGAAAATACACCTTTCAGAGAGGTGTTACCCTTTAGGAGACTGAGTTGCACAGAAATTAAGAGACTTGTTTAATGACAGGATTTGAGCCCAGGTCTGTCACTCCCAAATCTGTTTTTATGTGCTCAGTTCTAGGGGTGGGGGTGGATAGGGGTCTTATGTGTGGTCTGTATTTTGATAGGCTTATTCCAACCCAGGATACTGCCTGTTGATTGGCCATAGCAATGGGTTTAACCCTATTCTAACTGCTTAATGATCACCTCCCATTAAAAAAAAAAAGTTTCTGAAGACCAGCCAATCAACAACTGCCTCAGTGAGGTTGCTTCAGATGGCCAGCTAATCAATGGCCACCTCACTTCAGTGAAGTCCACCAATCACCAACTGCCTCACTCCAGTGCTCCTGAGTGCTAGCTAATCACCAACTGCCTCGCTCCAGGGATCCTGAATGCTAGCCAATCAATGACAGTCCCACTGGGGTAATCACACATGCACAGTTAAAGATCAACCAATCCCTAAACACACTTCTGAACTCCAGGAATACTGGAAGCCACATTTTCCAAACCCTTAGAAAGCTCAGCTCTTAGCGCAGGAGACTGACGTAGCTGCCCACCTCTCCTCAGTGAAGGAGCTACATGTTCGCTTTCTTGTTCTGATGCTGAGTTGTGGCCACACACCGACAAAATAACAGCTTCCTCTTGCACATAGCTGCAGGGCCACTGTCCTTGGAGTGCCCCGTCGCCTAACAGACACCTCACCTTTCTTCTCTTGGCCAATACAGGTGAGAGAGGCCAGCTGGAAGCCCATTCTGGAGGGCCTTGGCCAGGAGTTGAGGTTGCTCCCTGAGGCCTTAGGAGACTGATTCTTAGAAGCCCTGCAGGCGCACATGGTTATTTTCGATTAAGGATAATTTCCTATGGTGCAGGATGGATTACAACAAAAAGAGACTGGAGAGGAACCGCAATTCCACAATAAAATTAGACATACAAACTGAACAAATTTCCAACACGGAAAAACCCCAACAGAAGAAACTCTGAGATAGTACATTCTAACTAATCGACTACTGAAATTTTAAGTCGGAGGTGGTGTTCTGATTTAGTCTAAGATAGAATCAAGATAAAGATCTGATCCAAGGAATAATGTACATTTGTTCTCTTTAGCTCAGCAGTTCAAGGAAACCTAATTTTTACCTTCATTAACTACAGCTAGTTAAGTTTATCACCCAGGTCTGGCCCACAGAGAGAGGAGCTAAAAATTTGATATTATGTAGCAGGATCACATCTTGCCATGTCATGTGATTGCTCTAGAATAGAGCTTAGCAAGAAGCCCATAACACTGAAAAAGCAGCTCTCAGAGGACCTCATAAGTTAGGCTGCTTTTTCAAGCCTTACGAAGAAGAAGATTTAAAAACGAATAGAATAGGTATAAAAACTTCCTCGGCTCTACAGTTTTCACTAACCCTTAACATAACAGCAATCCTAGTCTAGGACCCAATTTTCTTTAAAAACAGTCCTATTAACTGTACCTTGCTGGGTTACATACTCCTCACAAGACCAGAGTTCCTACAGCACTCAACAATGGTCCAAGATACATCCAAAGAGGTCACAGGGACCAAGCTGAACCACCCGGTCTTAACAGCAAACAGAAGATTGGAGTTTAGTGTCTGGGATTCCAAGCTTAGCTGAACCATTTGTATGTTTGCCTTGGACTTCAACTTATTTTGTAAAATGGGAGTATCAATACCTGCTCAGGAGAAGCACAATAATGTAGTATTTAAGAGGGTGGGGTTTATGTTACACAGGCCGGAGTCCTGCTACGCCACCTTAGCCCAGCTGCCTCTTCCACAACCTGGGGCACTAACAACACCTCACTTCAGAGCTTGTCAAGAAAGCCCTGAGGCCCGCTGCCCAGCATGAGAGAGACTGGAGAACGGTAACAACAGTCATGAACACTTTCTTCATACTTGAAAAGTGGGGTCGTGTTCTATCCACCCCTCCCTTCATTCAGCTAGGATTTACTGAGCCTTTTCAGGACACCAGGGTCCTTGGTGAGCAAGAAACACCCAGTGTCAGCTCTTCTGTGATTCAAGCCCGACCACAAGTGCCACCTCCTCAGAGATGCCCATCGACGTCAGTAACACTGTCCTGACCCTCTTGTTTTACCTCCTGAAGAGCGTTTAGCACAC